GTAGAGCTTGGTGTTCAGAGGGCATGAACTTTTCAACATAATGGGATAAAGCAGACCAAATTGTTTCCGTATAATGAAGGCTAATTGTAAAAAGAATTAGAGGAGTATTTCCAGGGTTGACTTCTGTGTGTGTTAATGAAAAGTAAATCTTAGTTTGTGGTTTAATTGAAGGAGTTACTGAACACCAGCTGGCTTCTTGCATTACTTTCCTTGGTAGATGGTCATTACTGTGTCTTTAAAGAGACATCACTGTGTAAATTCACTTTTACTTAGAAAACTATTTGGTGTAAGTTCCAAACAAACTTAAGGCATTGATAAAACAGGAAGGTGAAATACTACAATTAGATAAATATGTTACCACATGTGTCATTTAAACAAAATATTCTTTCTTTTTTAAGAAAATCTTTATTTTTAAGCAAGCTCTGCCACTGAATAACTGTGATATTGTCACACAGTTGTGTACTCAATTGTTCTGTGTCTCATTTCTTTTATCTCTATAATGAAAATTCTTTTATGAGCTGCATATATTCATAAATGCTAATATAAAACTAATATAAATGCTAATATAAATGCTAATATAAAATTTTAATGTAAATCATTGTGTATTTGCTGTGTGTCAGTTCATCAACCCTAGGGGATTATGGATATTCTCAGTTTACACATGAAGAAATCAAAGTACAGAGAAACTTTGGCCCAAGGTTATAGAGCTACTCAACGATCAAGTTAGGANGGTTATACAGCTACTCAACGATCAAGTTAGGATCTGTGCCATATTTCCTTCCCATTTGTTTCATCTCCTATCTGTCTTGAGACTAAAAGAGCCTACTGCCCAACCTGGAAATGTATCACCTAGTGTGTGTTTATGGAAAACAGGTACACCATTAGGAAATAGAGCAAATCAATAATTATTCTTAAGTACTTAGTCTATGCTCTGCAAGTGGATTATGAGCTTAAAAATGCAGTTATAACTTAAAAATATAGTGATAAAGTTTTATTTCTTATGATGGCAGTATTTTATTACAATTCTTTAGAGTCAATTAACACACCTTTTGTATGTACTATTTTTATAATAATTTTTTAAATATACTCATTGTGAACAAATTACCTCTCTTTGCTGCTGTTTGTCATTTTCAAACTTCTCAGGTATCTGCTAAAAAACAAATAACAAGAAAAGAAATTGTATAATCTGTAAAAATTAAATGTAAAAAGTTTTGAAAATATGTACATTTCAATATAAGGGTTTTACTCCCCTTTATGTGGGACAAAAAACTGAAACTCATAGGAACACACAATAGTATGGTTGTTATCAGAGCGAAGAGGTTTTGAGGGGTAGTTAAAGATAAATGGATCCAACTATGTGGTGGCGTAAGATGATTTGACTTCGAGTGACAGACACACAATGAAATATACAGATCACGTATAAAAGAAATGTACATTTGAAATCTATCTGATCTTATAAACCAATGTCACTCCAATAAATTTAACAAAAATAAATAAATAGTTTTACCTTATTGATGTGTGAAATGGATTCCTTCAGAAAATAAAAATAAAAGTTGGTTAAATTTTCTTAAAAAAATTTATTTGCCAATATGAACCAGAAAATGAAGGCATTTAATAGGTTAATGTGAACACCGTGCTTGGTAATATTGCTAAAAACATAGGATCATTCCTGAAACTTATGTTTTTTGCACTGTTCTGCACAAGCCTGTTCTACAAAAAAAATACAGATGAATGCAGTCAAGAAAAAAATTTTTACTGCCCAACCAGTGTGGCTCAGCTGTTGAGTATCAACCCGTAATCCAGGAGGTTTCCAGTCAGGGCATATACCTGGGTTTCAGGCTAGATCCCCAGAAGAGGGCATGCAGGAGGCTCTCTCTCATCATTGATGCCTCTATCTCTTTCTCCCTCTCCTTTCCTCTCTTTGAAATCAATAAAAAATTTTTAAAAACATTTAAAAAAAACAACTAGACATAGTACAAAAACAGGCATTTCATAGATGCTAACTTTTCCCTCTCACTATATTCCCTTCTTATGACTACAAATGATCTCTAAGACAACATATGATTCTAAAACAATAAAATGCATTAATAAGAAATTATAATAACTATTAATAGATCCTGTTAATTATTCTTAGCTCATTTGCTATATTCTGGTTTCAAATGAATTGTAAGAACTGAATACTTTCCCTAAGGATCTGATAACCCTTGTGAAGAGATAAAGTGCACCCAGGTACCAGTTAGCAGGTAATGACAGGCCCTGAAAAGTGGTGCAAGTGTTTATATCTACTTGACTCTCCCAGGCAGATTTGAGACTAATATGAAGTCTCACTGCCTTTTATTATCTAAAGTGACTATTGTAATCACAAAATATGGCCATTTGCATGTCTGACCACCGCTACATTGCCATTCTTTCCTATGGGCATGTGCTTTTCAGTTTGTACCACAGCTCTAGTCAATGCCTGATCCACAGAAGGTGCTGAATAAATGTCAGAACAGTGAATGAGGTCAGGCTGGAGAGCGGTCAAGACACAAAAGAGGACTGTGCAATCCACTTAAAGAAGGGAGTGGGGCACAGTGACAAAGGTTCAAGTAGCAGCTAGTGTGGAAAGTGCTGGGATAGTGAATTCTGCAGACATTTATTTTGTCCTTAAACATATAATGGAAATTTACATCAGAATTTATATATCAGAATGGCTGCATTCACTTAAATACCCTAAAATAACACAATATAAAGAGTGTCCAGCATTTTACTGTTTCAAATGGAAAATTGCCTCAGAATGAACATTGTCTTCTTACCTCACTGCTGGAAATGCTTTCTACAGTCTGTGAAGAAAAAATACAGAATCAACAACTGGATCATCAAAGAATGTTACTTTTTTTTTAATATATATAATTTTTTTAATTGATTTTAGAGAAAAGGGGAGAGAGAGAGTGGGGGAGAGAGAGAGAGAGAGAGAGAGAGGCATTGATGTGGGAGAGAAACATCTATCGGTTGCCTCCTGTCCACTGCTATCAGGGATTGAACTCACAGCTTTTGGTGCATGAGATGACCCTCCAACCAACTGAGCCTCCCCAGCTGGGGCAGAATGTTACGATTCATGGTTGGAAAAATTTCCTCTGAATAAAATATCTTACCTCCCTGGATACACTGAATTCTTCCTTCTGTAAAGAAAAACAACAAGAACAAAAGCATTTAGTTTCCATAGCTAACTCATTTCCTACTTACTCTTTCCCTTTCTCATGCAGAGCTATCTCCTTCACAAATTCAAGAAATAAAAAATGTTGTATATTTTTTGAGAGCCTTAAAGGCAATTGTGTTTTATGTCTTTTATATTTGATAACTCTAATGGCATGTTTTTAGTTTACCTGAATGAAGAACAATTTTTGATGGGCACAGAAAAGAAGTTTTTTTTAATTTGTATCAAACACTTTTTATTACGATTACAAATATGTTTATGATTATGATTAATGCCTGATGTTCCACCCTCTGGATGCCTTTGGGTGGACACAGGCAGCACTTGGCCCAATGCCCTATAGTAAGAGGCACCTAAGGCTCATCACCAATGTGTTCATCGATGTTGCGCATGCACACAACTGTCTTTGTGTGATATTACTTTTCTGTTGTTTCTGTATTTGCTTCTTGTTTTGTCTGTTGCTTACTGGTTGTTTTTTCTTTAGCGACTAGCTGCACAGTGGTGTAGAAATCATTTAACCCAGATTTGTGGTCCGATAGGACTCCATTGAAATAATGGGTGAACGTAAAAGATTTCCTTAGAAGTAAACAAAAAATGCTGTTGAGATTCTGCTTTATTTGTGGGTTTAAAATGTTGCTGATGCTGTTCTCGACACGTGGGATAATATTTCACTACATGTGAATCAGGTAGAGATTGTCTTACCTCCCGCGCAAGAGCGAGGGCCACCAGGCTGGCCAGGATGAGGACCTTCATGGCTCTCGAGTCCTGTGAGTGGGGAAGGAGGAGATGCTGTTGCACTTGTCAACCTAATATATTTTTTATTTAGGTAGGATTACCTTTTTTAAAGAAACCAAAAATAATGTGAAGTTAAAATACCTGCATTTTAAAAAGAATACTAGTAGAAATTTTATCATAAAGCCAAGACAAGATCCACAATGCAACTTAGTCTTACATATCAATTTTATAATTCAAGGCCAGCCCTTCAGACTTTTCCAGCTACGAGCTCTACCCTACCTCACTCTTTTTAATCTCATTTTCAGTGCAGTGTGTTTTTTGAAAGAGAGGAGTTTAAAATATTTATATAAAGCTTTATTAATTGATTCATTTTATTCAAAATGAGTACTGTTTACTTAACACCCTTAAGTGCCCGATTCTCTCTAAGGTCTTGGATTAATGTAATGAAAAAAATATTGAGGTCTCAGTCCTGATGAATCTTCATATCTATTGGGAACAAACTGATTTAAGAAAATGTATACATAGAACATCATAATTTATTTACCTTCCTTTCCTAGGCTAAACAGTTTCATGAATATTTGATTTAATCATGTATTCTTATTTCTAACAACACTGAGATTTTTATTTGAGCATTCGATTTATTTGCTCCATTTATGCAGTTGTTTTCTTGGACTAATTAGTTTGCTTTTTTCTCTATGTGTACCCACTACACAGTGTTAATTCCCACACACCTAATGATGTCTCTTCTCCTTTGTGACATATAACTATAGAGATCATACATGGTGTCCTTTCTTTTTTCTTTCATCTCCTGGTGATTTACCAAAGAATCAGATTCTATTACCCAGTCCCAGTGAAAACCACTCCTTCTTGTAGCATAACATAAAATATTTGTTAACATTTTTGACCAAAATGTACTCAGTGCTTCATTTTGTTCCATCTCTAATTTCTTACAAAAAATAATCCTTGTGCTACCAATACACCTTGACATATAATCTTCAATTACAGATTTATAAACAAAATTTCTGAAATAAAATATTTTATGTAAAAAGTTTCTAATTCATCAGAATATGTTCTTTCTAATATTTTGAGGTTGAAATATTTCTCTTTTTAAAACAAAAATATGTTTTCTAGATTTTTCTTGGTGGTATATAATTATTTCTTAATTAATTTTATTGTGGGGACTGGTTAAGAAAATTATATGTTTCAAGTGTACAATTCTATAACACATCATTTGTGTGTTACACTGTGTATTTGCCAGCCAATGTCAAATCTCCTCTAATCACCATGTAACATATTTGACTCCCTTTTCTCTTTCCTATATGCCCTCCCATCTCTCTTCCCCTGTGCTAGCGACCACACTGTTTGTGCCTAGGAGCTTTTGTTTGTCTTGTTCGTTGATTTGTCCCCTTAAGTTTTATATCCCACATGTGACTGAAATTACATGGTTCTTGAATTTTTCTATCAGACTTATTTTGCTTAGCATGATATTCTCAAAATCCAACCATGTTCTCACAAATAGCAGTATTAATTCTACTTTGCTTAAGACCTCCATAAGTTTACAAATTATTATTATTGTCTGGTTTCAAAAAAAATATTTTACTGTATTAGAGATGATTATGGTTAGGAAAGACATCATTATGTTTTCCAAATTTTATAATTAGCATTTTATATACCATTTTTAAGCCAGAAATTCATTAAGACTAATATATTCTAAGGTACATTTTCTTTCAAATCTTTCTCTTTTTTTTTTGTTTCCAAGTCATTTCTATGTGTTCTAGAATTTTCTTACAGAGTAAAACTTTATTTCTTTTTACCTGAATTCTGTATTTTACATGTCTATTTTAATGTTATATTAAAATATTATAAATTGAATAATAAAGAGGGATGTTGCACGTTGTAAACAAGTTCAATGAGTACACTCTTCTAAAAAAATTATTCATAAGCTTTTCAAGTCATTTAATTCAAATATTTGAAGAAAATAATTTTTTTAAAATATAGTCTTTGAAATGAAAGTATTTAAAGTAGCAAGGACTCCCATAATATTTTGACTCAATATGCCACCTCTATAACTACCTAGTGAATAAAGCTTTCCCAATAATTATTCCTATTCCCTTATAATAATTTTAATATGTTTGTTTTTAGTTTTGTGGTATGTTTAATAAACCTGGAAGCCTTACTTAATTCAGAAAATAAATTTTTAAGTTGTTTTTTAAAATTTATTTATCTGAGAGAGAGAGAGAAACATCAGTTTGTTGCTACATTTATTTATGCATTCATTGGTTGATCCGTTGTTTGTTTGTTTTTTCATTGGTTGATTCTTGTAAGTGTCCTGACATGGGACTGAACCCGCAACCTTGGAGTATCACAACAACACTATAACCAACTGAGCAACCCAGCCAAGGCCAGAAAATAGATCTTTTAGAATAGCCTATTAACTAGCCTTGTACTTAAAAAAATATTAATCACCATTAGTACATTTTTTTTAACTTATAAAACTTATGTGGTCATTATAATTTCTACCAAATCTTTATAGGCACTTTTACTATTTTAGCATAAATTTTGGGGGGGAAAAATGCCAATGCTACTTTAAATACTTTCATATCAAAGACTATATTTAAAAAATTATTTTCTTCCTATATTTGAATTAAAGCAAAAAAGGGGAAAATTTATACCTGAAATTCTTACCTTTTTTCCAAAGTGGAGNAAAGGGGAAAATTTATATCTGAAATTCTTACCTTTTTTCCAAAGTAGGGGACAAGAAGTGAAGAAAGAGCAAGTGAATGATGGTCTGTCTGTTTCTGTGGCTGTTTATATACTCTATCTAATGACATACTAATTATGTGCTTTGAAAAAAATCAATAGTGAGTTTNGTCTAACGACATACTAATTCTGTGCTTTGAAAAAAATCAATAGTGAGTTTCAATTCCAAGAAATCAGCATGATTAGAAAATGATTTCTGCTGAATTTCTGTCCCCAGAAATGCTGCCAGGGAGCATTTTAACAAGTAAGCAATTCACATCTAATCAAGGAAATCTGTGCAGGAAATGCAACTGTCTAATACCTAAAGAAAATCACTGGAGAACAGGGACATTGTGGCTCAGACCCCAAGTTAAGATGACATAATTCAGTCTCCAGCAGTTGGTGGGTCCTCCAGATCTCAGTTGTGGGCTTCACAAAGACCATAATTTCATGCTAACCAGAGCAATTGTCAGTGTATTATGCCACATTGGAGGAAAATGACAAGATAACAGTGCATGGTGGTAGCTCAGTCATGTAAATGAAATTGCTCACTCCCAGGACCACCTGCTTTGGGAAGAATAAATTGTTTACATAAAACCAATATCTTGTACACAAGAGGAATAAACCTCCCTCTTAAAGGAACATTTAGGAAAAGCAATCTGGATGGCTGATACAGGCACAAATACTTGGTAAATATGTTATTAAGGTTGTTTAAATTGTCAAGGAGATGTATTTACCTGAAACATATTGGTTGTCTCTCTCTATTTAAACATAATAACTAAAAAGCTTTATTATTATTATTATTTTATTATTATATCACTTTATACCAACCTTATGTCATGCATTGTGCCCTTTACTAACTTATCCTTTATGACCATAACAAAAATATCATAAGATAGCTCTCCTCTCCATATTTTGGATGAAGAAATTTAAAAACCAATAGATTAAGTAACTTGCAAAATCCATATTTTTTGTTAATTGCAAAGATACTATTTAAAACCAGATCTGTCTGAGTAATTATGTTTCTATTGGATTATATGCAATGTCCATGTCTTAACCCTCTAATATTGTGTTGTAAATTTAGCTATCAATGTAGCATTTGGGCTTAAATGTGCATAATTTTTTATGCCTGGATTGGAGGAATGAGCACTTTTGCTAAGTGTGAGCAGGAGGAGTAGGTCATTAAGGGGCTGTTTTTCTGGTTGGAACTTAAAAAGAATGAGTACATTTCTGAGCCGTGATTACATGGCAATACATTATTTTGGCTGAAGGAAATATAGGTGCTTGAACAGCAATAGACCATGTTTGATGGATTCTGTATAGGAAACACAGAGAATATAGAATAAAAGTTATTATTACAGGGGATTGATGGAGTAAGGTCATGGATGCTTTTGAATTTTGATACATACTGTGGTATAACTCACTGGAAATAAGGAATACATTCAAGATTTGAAAGAAAGAAGGATTCCAAAATTTTTTGGACAATATGTCTTTATGACAATATCTCAGGCAACCTAGTAAGAGAGGTTATTATAACATGTTGCTATAGTCATTGAGGATAAACATTATGATGACCTCAACTATGGAAATGATGCTGGACATCATAGGCAATGGGCAGCAAATTTCTCATTAAAATAAGAGAAATATGAGTAATCAGGGAAATGAATGAATAGAATATGAAAGGGTAATTGAAAAATTATCCATTTTATAAACTAAAATGGAAACCAACTTGATATTAGAAAGAGGGTACTCAGTTAAATCTTATACGTGGTAAGTTTGAAGGTATCTAAGATGTAAATTAAATAAGACACTCAAAGAAATCATATGTACAGTTGTAGAAATGAAGATTCTCTTGCAAAGAAATAAATAAATGTCCCTATGGAAATAGTAGCAAGTGAAAAGAGAAATTATCTAAGACTAGAACTCAACAATACCCTATTATTCAGAGGCTGGTACAGCAAAAGGAAATAGAAAAAAATATACAGAGTATCACGGAGAAGAAAATAGAGGGTCATTGGAACAATGGGAAGAAATAGCTAGAAAAAGACAAGTGGAAGCAGAAGTGAAAATGCTGCAGAGATGTGGAGTAAGGGGCAAACAGAGAAGAGACTTTTGGACATTTGGAGTCATTATCCTGTAATCATTGAGAAACACTCCAAGTGGTTAAGGAGTATATAATGTGTGAGGAATTAAAAGCAACACTACCCTTCTGAGGTTTTAGAAGTAAGGACACCTCTGGAATGGTATCTATGACAATAGGAACAACGACTCACACAAAG